CCTACTGCCTCTCCATCGCTCGGAAGAGGTTGGCTGATTGTGGGGATGGTCTAGATTGCTTCTGATGGGCTCTAGGGAGGGAAACCCCAGGATCCACTTTTCTGTCTGATGCTACAGAGGTTTGTGGACTCTGGATTCCAGAACCTCCATTCAGGGATGGGCTCCTAACTAAGACCAAGAAGAGTTCAGCAAGTCTAGTTGAGGACCTCAGCCACCATGAATGGAGTATCCTCATGCCTTCATGGCCACCTGCACTTTCTGGTTGTCTTCTGTCCCTAAGTCATCACTGATCAACCCAGACCACCCTAAGCTTCTCAACCAAAGAGTTCAGGCCTACACATTTGTCTATATCCTGAACTTGTGACATGGAAATGTTTGTCTCTTGCTGCTGAAGAAGCAAGAGGACTCACCAAAATGAAGTTCTTCTAGGAACTAGCATGTTTGGTCCTCGCCAAGGAAAGACCAACTGGCTGTCCCTAGGCTCCACAAAGCGCTTAGATTGTCTTTGGCGCCACCAGATTCCTCGACAACCTCTGAAAATCCATATCTTCTGATATTCCAGGTGTCCAACACATCTCCAGTTCTCTGGACCTCCAACACAGAGCCTTGAGAAACATCTATAGATAACTCCTGGATAACTCCTTTCTTTGGAGTTGCAAGACTTTTTTGGGGGGTGGGGGAGGTTTCTATTATACTAGGAAGAGTAGTGTAGCTCAGACGATTCCACAGGATTGTGCCCAGACGATTTTTTTTTTTTACGCGTATTTTGCACTTTCACGCCCATGACTTTTTCTAAACTTTAATATAATCCCATCTCCGCCGCATGTTCGTTACCACTAAATGTTGGGCTCACCCTACTGCTAGTTTCTTCCTGCTTCGGGACTCTGGAGCGTCGGTGCTCCTCCTCGGTGCTCCCCGGAGTTGATGCCCAACAAAAGTCGAACGAGCCAGCGTTAGCCAAATTGGAATTGCAGCTCAGCTGAACCAGAGGCTCCTGGCTAGAGACGGAGAACGGCTTGCCAGATCGATGTCTGGCCATCCAAAGGGAGCCATGGAGGACTGAAGCCAGTCTGGGTGGAGCCGAGCCATGTAGAAACGACTTCGACGGGCAGGAGGGATGTGCACGGGGACTCGGAGGTAACTGCAGCCCGACTGGCTGGGGAGAAACATTACATGAATGTCCAACGGAGGCAGATTTGATTTTGATGATGGAGGCTGTTATGTGGGCGACTGGGAAGAGGGCCGGGCACATGGCTATGGGGTGTGCACAGGCCCAGGCGCCCAGGGGGAATACAGCGGGCGTTGGAGTCGTGGCTTCGAGTCTCTGGGTGTTTACACTTGGCCCAGCGGGAATACCTACCAGGGCTTCTGGAGTCAAGGCAAGCGCAGCGGCCTGGGCACGGAGCGGAAGAGCAAGTGGAGTTACAAGGGGGAGTGGTGCCATGGGCTGAAGGGCCATCTGGGCATCTGGGAAAGCCACTCGGGAGTCGTCTACGAAGGCATGTGGCGTGAAGGTCTTCAGGATGGCTACGGGATGGAGACCTACGCGGACGGAGGTGAGTCAGGAGAGCAGGCTGAGAAGGGGGTTGGGGGCTGGGCTGTTATTTCTTCTTGGTCTGGTGGTCCTGATGTCGTATCTGATTGTCCACTTGGCCCACAGCATTGTGTCCCTGTCCAGTTCTCCTCCATAAGTCTGTTGAGGGGCAGTTGGAGAAGAACTGGGTTCTCTCCATCTCTCCATACCCTTTTCATTCCCTGTTGCTTCACTCCTTCGTCGAGATGCTCCTCTAGCATACCTCCTTGGGACATCCACTGTCCTAAGTCAAGGGGTGTCAAACTCAAGGCCTGCAGGCCGAATCCAGCCTGTGGGGTGCTTAAACCTAGGACCGGCCTGCAGGGCCTCTGCGGGGCCCATTTCTGACTGGTAGAGTGCTGCAGCAGGCCATTGAGGCCAAAAATGGGCTGTGCAGGGGCCTCCCATGGTCTCCCATACCTTGTTTTGACTGGCAGGATGCTGTCCCATCTCCCCAGAGGAGAACTACAATGCTGATCTGGCCCTTGAATAAATCCAGTTTGACACCCCTGGTCTAGATGTCCTGCTAGGTGCCGAAGTACCACCAGTAGCATACGTGTACCACAGATTGAAAAATATGGTCCTAAGATATTGGGGGTGATGGTTGATGGTGATGTGGTCCATAGAAAGTAGACCAGGTTTCTCCATAGACTTTTCAATTCCCTCTTGCTCCATTTCCTCATCTAGATATTCTTCCGCCACACCATCTGTGTGTCCTAAGACAATGATGGAGGTGGGAGTGGTAACTAGGTTAGTGTTGATGATGGTGATGTGTTCCCCTGAAAGTTGGTGAGATTTCTTCATGCACTTTTCGTACGCCGTTGCTTTGTTTCTTCATCTAGATGTTCCTCTAGAACACCACCTGTGTGTCTTAAGATAACGGTGGAGTTGGTGGTGGTGACAGTGATGGTGAGGGTTGTGGTGAGTGAGGATGACGCGGTCCATAGAAAGCTGGTCAGATTTCTCCATGTACTTTTCATTCATCCTTGCTCCATCTCTTCATCTAGATGCTCCTCTAGAACACCATCTGTGTGTCCTAAGACAATGGGCGGAGGTGGTTATGGTGGTGATGGATGGA